CACAGAATATATATATATATATATATATATATATATATATAAAACTTTCCTATGTGTCGTAGAGCAATTTATTTCTGTGATTACTTACATTAGTTTCAAAATAAATAATGCATGTAATAAATAATAAATTAAATTTGAATCTAATCTAATACATTTCTCATTAAATTATTTAACTGTATTATTTTAGTTAAATTAATGACATATTGAGTAGGAACAGTCTATAGAAATGATTAAAAATAATTCAAATTGGATATAATATGACATTATGAATTTAATAGTGTATATCATTACTGTTACTTATAGCATGAAATATATGAATAATTTAATAATTAAACTTAAAAACAAATAGAGGATCAATGCATATTATAATTTACTTAAATTAATCGCATTTAGAGTACATTTTATTTAAGTTTTTTCTTATACATTTTATTACTTTATTGTTCATTGATGTTTTCAATAAAAACACCAGACTATCTCAGAAAAAATTATCATATACCATGAAGTAATCGCTGTTAGACGACACCAAAGACTGTCGCACAATGCCGGACGTCACCAAACGACTGTCGGATGTTTATTAATATTATCGGATTAAAATATACAATTAATTAGTCGCTGAATGCGTTCTGATTTTGGCGCGCCGCGCCGTCGTAAGTTTTTTACAATACGTTTTTTTCGCATCGAGCGAGAGAAAAACAAGACTCGTCTTCGTCACATTCTCGCATTCTCGCACTCTTGTAATGTGCAGAATGAAGACGTCGTCATTACTGATACTCCACGACGACGTAAAATTGTGCGCTTCTAAAGAGCAGGTTTTTCATTTTGATTGATCATTATCGGCCGTACCATTAAATTCACTGACCGGAGATATAATATGCGCGTCAACATTCTGCAAATCCAATTAGCAATGGTGCCATCAAGTTCCACATTTTCAAGTTAAAGATTATTTATTGTCGTTCTTAAGGTTCCAAACTAAATGCTGCGATTATATAGAATTATGACGTCAGAAGCTAGAAATACGTCGCTCCTGATTTTCTTCCGACAGTAAATTTTCACGTCGTTATTCATGTTTGATAAAGTGCTTCTTGAATTAATTATCCCTCGTCATAATAAAATATTTCTAAACAATTTTATCAGATAATTTGTTCTTGTATAATTATTTCTATGTAAATCCTAATTAGGTATACAAATATTAATAAAGCAACAAGAAATTGTAATTAAAATTATCCTACCTGCAAAGAGCGTCCGCAAAAATCGTCCATTTTTTGGGCCCTTAATTTTGGAACTAAACTGTGTGCCAAATTTTACCTTACATATTAATCACAGAGATATTAATCACAGAGAAGTTTGAAGATGAGGTGACAATTATTATCAGAATTGGAAATGTAAAAGAAAATGGATTTTTGCATAGACGTGATCCCTCTCCCTTTCTTTCCAACTATGATAACAATTGTCATCTCAATCTCTCTAAAACTTCTTTGTAATTAATATCTCATTGTAAGGTATCATTTGGCACACAGTTCAGTTAAAAAATTAAGAATCTAAAAAACGGGCAAAAAAACCACTTTTGCCCTTTCCAATTCTAGCTGAATGGACAATGTGGACAATATGTGGGGAATATATATATAATATATAACATATAGAATTCATAACGAATGATTTAATTAGAAAGACGTCTTTACACGCCGTTCGCAAAACACAAGATATTAAAAGCCCATGGTTGAGAGATTTCTGGTATTCCTTGAACACCCTATATAGTGCTTCGATTTACCCTAATCCTCCTTGGAGCGGTCTACAGTCCACCGGCGCGCGACGTGACGACGATCGGAGCCGGCGTTCTGATATCGCAAACGGTTTCGCGGCATCAAGGCCGCCTCCTTACCCGAGATCTTGTCTCGCCTCGATGACTCACGCCTAGCTTGGCCGCTGCCTGCTGCCTCGCCACTTCCTTCCACCTTCGAGGTTGCCCGAGAGACCAACCGCGGCCGCCTCCGCCGCCGCTTCTTGCGCTTAGCTTAGCATACCTTGTAGAGAAACGGTGACTGTAGTCCATCGCCGCTGCACGGCTACTTTTTTGCCCGGGGAAATGGAGATCGCGATGGGAAGAGGAAGCATTGCCCAGCATCGCCGCGCGCGGAGGTCTGTTTCTTGCGATACGTTTAACCCTTTAGGCCTGTAAAGTAGTAGTGGTAGTAATAGTAGTTCCACCCGGAAGACTCGTCCTTCTGAAATTCTACCTCGAGTCGCTGTGGTAGTCCGAGGCAAGATAGTTTCAGGGTGATACCACTGGACTTCAAAGTAAGAAATCGGTAGACGTTGCGATGAAGCCGAGATGACGATCGATGGCGTGTTTAACCTTTGACTCACAACCGCATTGTGTGTTAACAGTTAGTCGAGGATCATTGTGCAATCTGTCCTGTATATCATTGAGAAACGTAACGCAGTTTGTTTTCTATGATAAAAGAACATGAATCACCATGGTAAATAAGATTAATATATGTATAATGTAATCATAACTTTAATCCTTTCTAAAAACACTAAATTAGGAATGACGGAAATAAAAATCTCTGCTTCAATTTCACTATCTGTATTCTGTAGCAGTAAGAATTACAAGAAATAGAGTTACTACACTGAGAGAAAAATGTTTTGTATTTGTAACTATAATTATATATTACTTAATTATTATTATAATAATTAATTATTACTATAATAATTTTATAATTATATTTTGGGACAACTATAAAAATATGGTTGTCCCAAAATATAAAATTATAGTCACTTGAATCATTTTTATGGTAATTTCAACTATTTTATGGTTATAATAATTATAATTATAATCATTTTAGGCTACCAACTATATACATTTGTTGCTAGAACTATATACATAGTTACTGTTATTATTATTATAGCAGTAATAATCATAATTATAGAAATACAATATATAATTATAGTACAAATACTAAACATATTTCTCTCAGTGTAGCTAAGTAGTTAATAGCTAAATACAAGAAATACTTGTTTATTAACATTCTAAACTTAGAATGTTGATAAACAATTAACTATTCCTTGTACGTGGCTAATAACTATTCTTGCATTTCTAAATCTAAATTTAGAACATTTATCTAAAAGGATATAATAATAATTAGACAAGTGCTGAACCTTTATTTCCCATCATCGCGAGTTATATTAACCAGTATGCCAACATGTCCAACCACCTAGACACAACCTTATGTGTACAATAGGAAAGCGAACTCATACCGGCGGATAACGACGACGGTACAGAGAAAGACGAAGAGATTAGAGAGAAGGACTTACTCGTTCTCCTCGTGTGTATACGTTCATTCGTCATAATGCACGCGCCGCGGTAGGTATAATAGGTACACCCGGAGCTATAGCGATGCTTAAAGGCATCGCCAATTATCGCTGTGCATCCTCCCGACGAGAAGCCTGCCCATGAAGGCGCATATATGTTCCCCCTACCTTCCTCTCTTTCACGTTCCCTTTTTTATTTTTCCTCCTCCGACCGTACACCGTACTCCGCGTCATGATGACGATCGTGCGTATCCATTAATCCGTCCGGTATAGCCGCATTGCATGCTCCGGAAAAGGAAGAATGACCGTTCTCTTACAATTAATCCTTTCTCTTACTCCAAAAATATATCTACGTGATACAGATTGTATCAAATACGAACATAACGTAAATGTCCCCTTACGTTTTTTGTGTTGTTACGTATCTTTTGTTTTTGCGACACGAGAGATTCAATTTTTTATTTTATTGCAAATTATAAAAATTGTCATTTCACACAAATTAAAGAAATTTTTATTTAAAAAATACCTTAATTTATTATTATACTTTTACATGAAAATCACTATTTTAATTTTACTGTTCCGTTCTCTAGTAGTAAAAAATACAAAAAATATTAGCTGAAAGTTAAAATATTGATAAAAAAAAGATAGTAACTAGACAAATGTTGTACTTTTATTTCCCATCATCGCGAGTTGTTGCCATCATCACAATTGAACAATATGCTAATATGTTCAATCACCTAGACATGTTTACAATAGTAAAAAACCTTAATTCGGTACTAGATTTATCTTTTTTTATTGTAGCGTTTATAAGAAACAAGTAATAAGATTCATGATATGACATGTTATTAAAAAATGTTAGACATTTCAAGGTTCGACTTTATAACACAGACAATTAGCACAGAGCCTGTTTATTATGAAAATATGATACAAGTTACGCTTTCAAAATCGATATAATTGCTTCTAGTTTCATATATTAAAAAAAGTTATAAAACATTGTGAAACTACATTAACGTTATTTTATAAATAAACGATTTGTGCAGTGATTAGAAATGGATAAGTTGAAACGAGCACGAGCGTAGTTAAAGGGTATGCCTTTAGACCTCCCGCGAGCGTCGAAGGAAGGAAACTGGTGCAGGTGCGTGCCTTTCTGAGAGCCAGTACGGGATTAGAGCGGATCATCTTCTCTCGGTGAGTTAATTGGCCGCTTGTACACACGCGCGCGGAAGACGATACTCGGATTGCCAATGGCATGGTGACACGCACGTGGCAACCGCTGCACGCTGCCGCGCCATTTCCGGCTGCCTGACGGATGACGCGGTTTATCGTAATAATCGAGTGCACCGATTCGTTGCGATACTCAGACGCGATTACGTCGGGTTGATGTAACTCTCCGGAAAATGTAACGTTATCCGGGCTTATAAAAGTACGTCGTGATGTTTTTATTCGATCTTCCTCTCGTAAGAAGAAATTCTAATAGCTTCTTGCAGAAAAATTCCAATTCAAAGACAGCCAAGAGATTACACAAGGTGATCCGCAAAAGCTGACAAGGTGGTCCTGAAAAGCAGATGTAAATATCATATATTCTGCAGAGTAAATAGTTAAAATTTTTGCAATAAAATTTAATTAAAAGGTCACCTGTAATAAACACCCATATCTGAATTAATTAAAATCTTAAATTTCTGAGAGAGAGAGAGAGAGAATATGAATAATTTTTTATCACGTAATAATCACTAAACACAATCACTAACATTAAGTTAATTTGTTTCACTGTGTATCTAACTTTTAATTTATTACGATTATTACTAAATTCAGTAAGTTACATACGCATGTTTATTTTTATTATTTGTTATTATATATCTATTATAATTGTAAGTAATCATATTTAAATTAAATATTAAAGAGGACTAAAAAATAAGGGTCAATACGTTTATCATTTACTTCTATATTACTTAACAAGAAATGCACTTATACACATGACCATCTTGGCTCTTGTTGGTAAATTATTTTAATTTCATTGCTTAAGTTTTTAGTGATTGAAAAATTACTTATCTTTATTAAAATATGTAAAATTATCTTTATTTTCTAACGATTCAAATTTTTTGTTCTGAAAAGAGGAGTTTGAAAAATTTATTGATATTATAATATTTACAAAAAACATTATTAAGCAACAAGAAAATATAATAACTTGATTATATCTTATTGTTAGATATTGAAAAATTTTTGTCCACGATATTTTTCTTTAACTTTAACACTTTTTTCTGTCTCGTAATATTATGCTATTAAATTAAAATTAGTGTATTATGTTTTTATGATATCAGAACTTTGCAAATTAGTTCTGCTCGGATTTAATGAAAAACTAATACAAAGAAGGACAAGCGCGTGGTGTACAGCCATTTTTGCGACAATTGCTTGCAGCAAATTTTCTCACAGCTGCATACGTAGTTTTACACTCAATCTCGGATACCACTTTGTCCACTGTAGTCGATGTAAAGCGATTACGGCGGAGGTATACGCTGTACCGCTCCAAATTGCAGAGTTTAGCGAAGAGATAATAACAGAGAGCGGATAATCACGGCGTTACGCGCGAATGAGTGATGCCCGAAGGCGAGCACTATGATAAAAATCAGAGTGCCAATAATCAATGATGATCAGCACTACATGATGATGGGTATTGACAAAAGCATAGGCTTGCGAATAAACAATGATATTGAATATTTTTCAACTTACCGTTTAGCTTTTAAAGACATTTGATTTTTGATAGCAGTCTAATGGTATTTAAAAAATACTAATGTTGAATCATTTATACATATATATATATATATATATATA